TGGGTTCAAGTGATTCTCCTGCCTCAGCTTCCTGAGTAGCTGGGATTACAGATGCCTGCCACCATGACCAGCTAATTTTTGTATTTTTAGTACAGACAGGGTTTCACCATGTTGGCCAGGCCGGTCCCGAGGTTATAATTTTTTTTTAAAAGAAAACCTTTATCGGCCCGGCTTGGTGGCCCACGCCTGTAATCCAAACACTTTGGAGGCCAAGGTGGGCGGATCACCTGAGGTCGGGAGTTCAAGACCAGCCTGACCAACATGGTGAAAGCCCATCTTAAAAAAGAAAAGGAAACGCATAATGCGTGAGCACTTTTCCATACATGTTAGGAAAGAACAAAGACATTAAGATTTGTATTACTTTTACTGATTATCTCTTCTAAGAAAAAAGGAACCAGGTGCAGAAGCAGAACGTGAGAGTGGTCATGGATGTGACCACTGAAGCACAGCATCACATAGAGACATTTAAGCCCCCGGATGTCTGTGGGCCTGCCTGACAGCTGTCAGGCCTACCGCAAGAGCTTGGAGGAGCAGATTTTTCTCCTAACTCCCCTGAGGAAGGAGACATCTCAGCTATTTTGAATGTCTCCTTCCCTAGCTGGCTAAACAGCGGGCGCTTTCCCAGAGCCAGCACTGCCGCAGAGCAAAGGCGCCCTCCAGCAGCCCTTACATGGGCTTGACAGAGGGCTTAAAGCATCTTGCCTTAGGGTCATTTCTTTCACAGTGTCACCCCAGGTTCACACTTCTGACCTGAGAAACATTAGTAAAAGAATTTGGATCAGCTATGAATAATAACTACTATGATTATATTTCTAGTTACTTTCTTCTTCATTATTTATATGGAAATAGGCTGAGGCTTCTGGCTCCTGCTTTGGCACTTATGGGATCCCCCCCACCCACAGATCATTTCTTCATTCTACGATCTTACGGTGATTTTAGGTTTTCTAATTCCGAAAGGCCCTCCGGAGGTGTACATGCAGTTTACGGGGGTCGCCTTGCCATCCACGGTGTGGTCAGACCTTACTGGAAGTGTAAACTGAAAGTGTGAGAAAGTGTTCTGAGAGGGCTGGGGCTTTGGATCCAAATGCCAAGGGAACCAGCAAGAGCTGTGGCTGTTAAAGGTTGTAGTGGGGCTTGGTAGGGTGACTGTGTGGAGGGAGAGCTCTTGTTTTCATGGTGTATGAGAAAGCATGTGGTATCTATAAGTAACCACTCATTTTCATTAACAAGATTGGGTATGAGCAGACAGGAAGAGGGGTCTGGAGGAGAGTCTGAGGAGCAAGGCAAGGTAGCCAAGGGTAAAGTAAGAGACAGGGTAAATGTCTTCACAGGCAAAACCTGCCATTGATGTTTTTAAGGCTGCTAGTGATAAGGGAGGGCTATTCTGTAATGCACAGTTCATATGCTCGTGGTTTTTGGTTAATGTGGGTATCAGGGCCCTTGAGGTAAAGTGTAAAGGAGCACAAAGAGGGCGGGAGATAGAGTTATGGGGTTCAGGGTTTGTGTTAGGTAACAGAATAGTGAGTTGTGGAAGAGGGTATGGAACAGAGAAGGATATAGGGGTTTGGTACAACCAGGTGGATGGGAAGTACGATCTGATTGATGAGGTGGAGGTCTTGGACTAGCCTGTAGAATTCGTCTGGTTTTTGGACAGGTGGGATAGGGAAATTGTAAGGAGAGTTTGTAGGAATTAAAAGGCCATGTTGCAATAGATGGGTGATAACGGGCTGTAGGCTTTTTAAAGGCTGTTGTGGGATGGGGTACTGGCACGGGGCCGGGTGAGGGTGGTTAGGTTTGAAGGGGATGAGGAGGGGTGAGTGACTTGTAGCAATGGATGGGAAGGTGGTGTCCTGCACCTTAGGGTTAAGGTAGGGGGACATAAGGGGAGCTGTTGAAGGAGGTATCGGTTTGGGGAGGAGGGTAGCAATGAGGTGTGGCTTTAGCCCAGGAATAGTGGAGGAGGCAGACAATTTTGCTAGGATATCTGGGCCTGACAGGGGAACTGGACAAGTGGGGATGATTAGGAAGGAATGTGGAAAGGAGTGCCAGCCTAACTGACACCAGACTTGGGGAGTTTTGAGAGGCTGGAGGCCTTGCTGTCAATTCCCACAACAGTTATGGAGGCCAAGGAGACAGGTTGTTGAAAAGAAGGCAGCATGGAGTGGGTGGCCCTGTGCTGATTAAGAAGGGGATGGACTTAACCTCCGCCGTAAGAGTCACCCGAAGCTCAGCGTCTGTGATGGTCCAGGGAGCTTCCGAGATGCTCAGGCAGTGTGTCCTCAGCCACCAAGCCAATTCGGTGTGGGAGCTTTGGTTTGGAGCTCCAGGAGCTCTGGGAGCAGCGAGGTGAGTCAGACGGTCTGACTTTCTATGACGAGACCACACAGACAGGGCAGGGCTTAGAAAGAATCCTGGTCTGCTGGCATTCCTTGGCCCAGTGGCCAGGTTTTCAACACTTTGAAGCAAGGTCCAGGAGGGGTGGCTGGACACTGCCGTCTGGGGGCTTCGAAGTCTTTGTGAGCTTGTGGTGTGGCTGGCGTTTGTCTTACGGCAGAGGCAAGCGTCTGTAGTTCTGAGATGCGCTGCTGCTGGGCAGCCCCTTCCCTTTTATTGACCACCTTAAAGGTGAAGTTGATTAATTCCTCTTGTGGGGTTTGAGGGCCAGATTTTAATTTCTGTAGCTTTTTTAACGTTAGGGGCTGATCGGGTGATAAAATGCATGTTAAGTGTTCTTCAGGGGTGAGAGTAGAGGTAAGGACGACACTGGCCGGGCGCGGTGGCTCAAGCCTGTAATCCCAGCACTTTGGGAGGCCGAGGCGGGTGGATCGCGAGGTCAAGAGATCGAGACCATCCTGGTCAACATGGTGAAACCCCGTC